TAAACGGGATCTCGCCTTGCTGCTCACGTGGTCCACAGTCATTTCCTAGCATCGTTCTTTCTTTCTCTATTTCCTTTTCCTTTCTTACTTTCCTTTACTCCTTTTTGACATCCGATCTGTTCGATCGGGCTATCAAATACTATTTCCGATATCTGAGTTGCTCACCCAGGCTATCGACACATTCCTATCCTCCTATTATCACAAATATACCATACTACTCCTCCTGGTGGTGGGAGGGTGGGTGATAACGACAAAGCTAGACTTTCGTCGAGCTCACAGCAAAGACAAAAGAGGAAGAACCGACTTCCAAACTCTTCTCTCTTAAATAGCTATTTATCATGACCTCATACTGATCTCAAACGATTAAACAAATTATACTTAACCAAACTATTACAAACTTACATCGAACAATGGCATCAACTAATCAATTAGAACAATACATTATACTTACAGAATGATGCCATATAATATATCAAACTCCTTAATCACTACTAATCACACAATATATCATACTTACCCTATATTCATACTCGCTACCCAGACAATCACTATTGAATATACTATCTCAAACTATTAATCACTTACCCTACCCACAGTTATTTGAAGTCATGGGTGTGGGTCGTGATCTCGTGACAAATGGATGCCTTGTGACTTCGTTCACTGCATCTCATTTGTCACTCGATCACCCGGATATAGACGAAAACATCACTATGGAAACACTAAACAGGATCATCAAGAGAATCGAATTGCATTTTCTCTCCCCTCTAAAGTAAGATACTTCAATAAAGCTATATATGTCTCAATTCAATGCTTTACATATAGACATTCAAAAACCCATCCTAACTGACACCTTTTTTTTTGTTGTTTCTACTGCTCTCAAATATAGCATCACCGCTTTTGAATCCCAACCACCAATAGCCCTAATCTGAGTTAGTAACATTTCTCTTCTCATTGCTGCTGTTGCCCCACCTATTCTCAAACTATGGGCTATAAAACGACCTCTACTACCTGCATGCTCTACTATTCGTTTCACTACTGCCAAAACTGCTGATACCGATATTTCTCCTCTTTTCTTTGCCAAAAACAATGGCTTTTCTACTGATGTGCTTGTTCTTACTCTTAGATACTTTTCTAACAATCCTACTGGGTAAATTCTACTCTCCAATGGCTCTATTGGTACAAATATTCTATTAGTGAACAGATCATTTTTCACCTTTCTTACTCTCAACCAAACCAATCCTGATTTTTTCTCAATATTTTTTAATTTTAATTTACACAACTCACCTAGCCTTCTCATTGCCCGAAACCCAATTGCTATTAATGCTAAATCTTTATACCAAATTACTGGATTCACTTTCTCAGGTAGATTATCATGATACTATTTTAAAGCTTCTAAAGAGAATAGATCTCTTGGCCATTCTGCACTATACTCCTTAGCTCTTAATAGTCTCATGCCCCTTACTATCTTCTTTATTCTAAAATCTTCTGTTGGGCTCTTCAACCCTCTTTTTTTATGCAACCTAGCTATTGCTCTCAGAAAGTCTTGTATCTGTGCTGACAAGCCTACTAATTCTAACCATCCCAAGAACGCCTTAATCAAATCGATACTTGCTAGGCATACTATTTCTTCAACCTAGTAACAAAAACTTTCAAAAAGCTGTTATACTCTTTCTAGTCTTTTTTTATAACTCTTATTAATTGCTTGAAAAACCAAATTATTTGCCCATCTTAACAACATCTCTACTATTTTATCTTCGCTGCTAACAACTTCCAAGCCAAATTCTTGCACAGTTCTACTTAACCTGATGGTCCCAGAATGATAACTTCTGAAGCTGGTGGTAACTCTATTACCTCCTTTGGTGTCTCTAAAAACATTGGCCACTATGGAGCTGAAATCCAGGCTGAAAGAATTAATAACACTATTGCTTTGCATTCTTAGCTGTGTATTAATACTTGATATACCAACCCAAAAGGAGAATATGTATAATTCCTTTCTGCTACCCAGTTCTGAATGAAGCAATCAACTGCTTCAGAATTTGGGCAAAAATAGTAACTGTTGAAATGCTTTTTTTTTGTATTCAAATGATTCGCCAACTGATCCACTGTAATTGGTTCTCATTTTTTTCTAATTCTATAAACATCTGATTGTCTAATTGCCAATTGCCCGAGTCCCACACTCTTGTCAGATAATCTGCCAGATTTATCTTGCTTGGGACCCATCTGACTTCATAAATCCATACATTATTCATTGCACAAAACTCTCATAGAAACCTTGAAATGTCTTTTTACTACAAGCAACTTCCTTCATATACTATGGTCCTCAAAGCAACCTTGCTGTCTATAAACAACATTACTCACAAATGCTTCAGGAGACTGACAAATGATTCTAGAACTCTTAATGCTGCCAAACTTTCTAGCTGTGCTATTTCTGTAGATTCGAATTGCTTTGGCCAATTCCCTATTGCTTTGTTTCCTATATATACTCCACACTATCCTATTGTTGATACATCCACAAACACAGCCTTTATTCAGACTGGTTTCCATGCTGGTTTGCTATTCCATCTCCTCAAATTTTCTTTTAGCTATCTTATATCCTCCAACACTCTGTTTGTCAATTGAATATTCTTGTCCCATTCTTAAATATTTTGATTTGTCACATCTATCAAAGTATAAAACTCCATACACTTTACTTGGGCTAGTAAAAATACCCATGCAAAACTTTGAACCCTTCCTACCACTGATACTAATCTTCTTGCTGAGATTACCTGCAACTTTTCTACTATTTTTAACTCCTCCTGCATTTCCTTAATCTTTTCTTCTGGTACCTCAATTACCCTATTTACTGTATCTACTATTAATCTGTAAATCTTTACTTTTCTTGTTGGCTTCTAACATTCTTTGTCCAATACTTTTACCAAACCACAACCTTCCAAATCGACCTTTATTATCTTTTCTCTCAAATGCAGTAGGTCCTCTTTGGATAAACACCCACACATTATCGATATTATTCCTACAGTATATTTCCTGTAATCTTCATAAGCCTATCAATGCTTCTATTATCTTTAAGAATGCCCAAGGTGACTGGAATAGTCTGAATGGCAGTACTTTGTAGTAGAACCATCTTTCCTTTATCCAAAACCCTAGAAAATGTTGAGCCCAGTTGTCCATCAACACATAGTAGTATCCATCTTTCAGATCAAATACAATTACTCACCAATTTCTCCTGATCGATCTCAAGAAACCTCCAACCCTTCGAACTGAAATGACTTTTTCAGCAATACTCGATTTAATCTTCACAGATCTATTACTATACAAAACTTCTTTAACCTTGCCGTTAGCATCAAAAACACTAGACTTACTTCCAGCAATATACTTGGCCTCTCTTTCTCTATATATACTAACTTTATCGCTCTCATTTTCATTAATCTTTTCAACTTTTGTTGTACACTCATTCCAACTCGACTATTGTAAACTCACGTTGCCTAGGCACTTCTATTTGTGCTAATGATTTTACTCCTTTTAGAAAAATTGGCACTCTGTTTTTCAACCAAAACATCACTAATATTGCCGGTCTTATAACCTTTCTCCAGTAACCAACCAAAGCTTCCAAATAAATTCTTCCTACTACCTTTTGTTCCTCCTGTATTCTTTGCTCCTGAGTATGATCAACTCTTTTTACCTTCTAACTCTGCTCTCCAAAAAGGCTAATCTGATTTTTTCTGCAGACAGTCCCAGGCTATATGACCTTTTTCCTCACAAATAAAGCAAACAATTCCTAGATTTTTACCTTGCTTAGCAAATCTATTGTTGTTATATGGTTTGAAGCTCTCTTGATTTCCATATGACTGTTGATAAGAATTCAAACTTGGCACCATGTTTCTATAAACTGAACCTGTGTTTGAAGCAAAGCCTAGCTGGACTGGTTGCATTTGCTGAAATGCACCTATACTTAGCTAAAACTGATATTAAATTGGCTGTTGAACTGGCTGCTAAACTAGTTGCTAAAACATCAGCTATTGCACTGCTTGGTTTGAAGCTACACCCCAAACCCAACTAGTATGCTAGTATACAATGAACCTGAAGAACTAAAACTTCCTCCCACCTTCGTCTGCTTATTCTTTGCTAATAACCTAGCACTTGCCAACTTATCTTGGAAATATGTATCTATTGGATCATCATCTGACGAATCCCTAATTTTCACCACCACACTCTAACCTTTTCTTTTATCTACTCTCAGCATAAACACTCTTGTCACCACTACCTCTTGTGCTTTTATTACCCAATCTCAATCTTTACTTACTATCATATTATTCAAAACTTTCTCTACTTTGCATCACTTATTATACTCAAATTGATCTCTCTGTTTATTTATCTTCTCCTTTAACCAGTACTTACTCTCTTTAACACCCCGATAAGATTGCACTGTTCTTTTAATTTCTCTAACAACTTTCTCTATCATTGCTTAAACTGTCTTTTTCAAAGCTCTTTCCAATGCAAAGTATTGCATATCAGGTACTAAAAAACCTTGGGCTCTTATATTTCCCTCACTTGTTTCAGATCTCTTATTAGAGTAACTTTCTCGTATCCCAAAATTAAAATTAGTATTAATTTTACTATCTCCTGATTTCCTATTTTAATTAACTTCTTTTACTCTATCTTTCTCTTTTG